GGTCCACCACTCCATGTAAAACATGCAGCATGGGAGCAGCGGGCCATGGGAGCAGCCTGTTTTTAACACTAGGGTGCAGAGGGACGGAGGTTTCTGAATTCAAAGACAGCCTGGTCTGTGAGGTGAATTCCAGGCCAACTGGGACTATATGGTTAAATCCTGATTTTAAAAAGAGCAACCACAAAAAGAAAGACAGTTCCTGTGTACCTATTGCAATTATTTCTCAGACACCTGACAAAAGGAAAAAAGTGATATGAAGGGTAAAGCAGCAAGCATATCTACCAAATTAACATTGTGGGGAGTATTTTTTCAGACAGGGTTTCTCTGTTAAACAGTCCTCACTGTCCTTGGAACTCACTTTGTAGACCGGGCTGGCCTTGAACTCACAGAGATCTGCCTGTCTTTGCCTCTGAAGTGCTGGGATTAAAAGCGTGCACCACCGTCACCCAACTGGGAGTAGTTTCTAAAACTCCTAACTTGGATGCTTCCTCACAGGGGGCGAAATGTGTATGTGACAAGATTTTGTTTTGCTTTAGCTTCCAGAGTAGCTGGGACTACAGTTGTGACTGCCCTGCTAGATTTTTTCCCCCTGCATATCCCCTTTTTACATTGTTTATTTTGAATATATTAACACAAAATCTCCAAAATTCCGTTCATTGACTGATGGTTTGGAAAAAATGATACACAATTTCTCTTAAGGAGCAACTAATATTTTGTTTAACCAGCTTTTTATTGGCCATTCAAATTGTGGGAAAAGAGGCCACAGGAAATGGCTTGGAAAACAGAAGGCGAGCAAAGATTGAACAAAATTATAGAATAAAAAATTAAGATTTGGGGATTTCCCAAGGATATCCTGGAGAGAAGGGCTGAGGAGGACCCAGAATAGAAGCAAGCTTCCCCTTAGTGAGACAGGAAAAATGCAGGATGGAGAAAGATCATCAGGATGGTAGGCTCTGCGACATTGGTGATAAGAATGATGCAAAGTCTTTTAAGAACAGAGACAGAAGCCGGGTGTAGTGGCACACACCTTTAATATCAGTGCTTGGGAGGTGGTGGCAGGTGGATCTCTGTGACTTCGAGGCTAGCCTGATCAATATAATGAGTTCCAGGACAGCCAGAGCTACATAGTGAGACCTTGTCACAAATAAACAACAACCAAAGAACAGAGACAGTTGGGGGGCTCAGGATAATTTTAGGTCACTTGCTGTGCCGTGCTGAAAGGAGGCGCTCTCTCTGAGGCTCTGACTTGGAAAGTAGAAAGGCCTATTACATTTAAGTGTCTTATGGGGGAAATCGGTGCAGAGTCAGGGGGATACCAGCCCTGGGCCCACAGTTTTTCCTGCAGAGTTCTTTATAACATTAAAGGCCAACAGGCCCAGGTTGATTAGTCAGGACTGGTGGGACTTTTTCACCCACTTTCCCTTACTCTCCCCACCAATGCCCAATACCCAGGGACCATACCTCAAACAAACAAACAAAAAACCAATATGATGCCGGGCGGTGGTGGCGCACTCGGGAGGCAGAGGCAGGTGGATCTCTGTGAGTTCGAGACCAGCCTGGTCTACAAGAGCGAGTTCCAGGACAGGCTTCAAAACCACAGAGAAACCCTGTCTCGAAAAAAAAAAAAAAAAAACCAATATGACACTAAAATCCTTGATCATAAGATATTTTTGTTTGGAGTTGGTGATATAGCTCAGTTAATAGTCTTTGTCTTGTACACATAAAGCCTCAGGCTCATACTCAGCAATGTCTAAAGCCTCTGTGGTGGCACAAGCCTGTAATCCCAGCACTCAGAAGGCAGAGGCAGGAGGATCAGAAAGTAAAGGTTGTCCTTGGCTACATAGGAAGTTGCAGGCCACTCTGAACTTCATGAGACCATCTCAGGAAGGAAAAAAGAAAGAAGAAAGGAAGGAAGGAAAGGCTTGGAGGCAATACAGTAGAAGGTTGCTTATCTAACATCTAGGAAGACCTGGGTTCAAATTTAGCATCAACCACCCCACCAAAAAAGGGGGGAAGCACTTGCTGTGGAGACATGAGGATCTATATTCAAATCCTCAGCACCACACAAAAAGCCAGGTATAGCTGGGTGGTGGTGGCACACACCTTTAATTTCAGCACTAGGAGGCAGAGGCAGGCAGATCTCTGAGTTTGAGACCAACTTGGTCTATAGTTCTAGAACTGGCTCCAACGCTACTGAGAAACCCTGTCTCAAAAAAGCAAACAAACAAAAAAGTCAAGTATACCTGTAGCGCCAGTGTGCTGTGGGCAGCGGGGGAGGAACAGAAGGAACACTAGGGCTTGCTTGCCACCAGCTTAGCTCCAGGTCCAGCGAGAAACCCACTCTCAAGGGAATAGGCAGAGAGTGGAAGAACAGGACCCAACAACCTCTGCTCATGTACATGAGAGCATCACATACAAAATATGTTTGCTCAGAAATTAAAAATCCATTTCAATTTTAAAAGGAACATTTACCTGTATTTTTGTCATTTTCAATGGTCTTTGGCTTATCCCGGCTTCTCAGAACTTCCATTGAATCCTTTCTGACCTCCTTTGACAGTCAATGCTGCTCTTCTGACAAGGTCTACAGGGGTGCACCACAGTGGATCCCAGGCTTGTTGATGGTCGGCTGTGGCACAGCTGAGTACTCCGTCTTCATGGCCCGCACTAGGCCTCACCATCTAACTATACCTCCGATAAGTTTGTACCTCTACCCTGGACACATCAGCCTCACAATCCCTGTCTCCCTGCCTTCCTTCCCTTTCGCCCCATGCAGCTCATGCTTCAAGCCCGACCTCTCCAGGAGTTGCACCTGCTGCTTCATGTACCACGAGCTCAGCACGTCTTACATAGGCCAGCTACAAGCACTACTACCACCTAGGATTGCCCATTTCTTCTTCATGTAGGTCAGCCTCCTAACCCTGTCACATGTAAATCATCCCCCAACACAGTGCCTGTCCTGACTGACACAGGCTAAAATGTCAAAATGGGTAATTCAATGAATGACCATGCAAAGGCCAGCATGCTGGAAGTTACTACCTTTGGTCAGTTCTGAGAGCAGAGCTTATTGTCCCCAGGGCCTGTATCAGGACTGGGGCCACTCATGGTGTAGCTGAAGGCACCAGTACAACCATAGAGCCCCAGAAACCCACTGGAGCATGCTCCAGGAACCCACAGGGAGGCACTGTGGGCGTTGGTGCTCACTGGCTATGTATGGCTTCTCTAGACCAGTGTTCTCCAGCATTCGGTGTCATGCCACTGTGGCAAGCCTACGGAAGATCAAGCATGTGTTTCCCACGTCTATCCTCAGGTAGCTACACGGTTCCATTCTCACACATGTCCTCTCTCTCCTACATTTCAAGCTTAACAAGAATTGGGTCTTATACATGGTCACTAAATGTTTAATAATGATCAACGGCCATCTATCTTCAATCTTGTCCTCGAAACACTTTCTATAGAATGACACAACTCACAAAATGTTAAGGGACCAGGTCAAGCTTGGTGGCGCACGCCTTTAATTCCAGCACTCAAGAGACAGAGGCATGCAGATCTCTGTGAGTTCCAGGTCAGACTGGTCTACAAAGCAAGTTCTAGTTTAGGCAGGATGTCATAGTGAGACACTGTCTTCAAAAACAAAAACAAAAAAAAGTGTTCCACAGGGTGCATGCCTTTAATCCCAGCAGCTGGGAGGCAGAGACAGACAGGTGTCTATATGTGAGGCCAGTCTGGTCTACAGAGCAAGTTCCAGGATGGCCAAGGCTACGCAGAGACCTTGTGTCAAAAACAAAACAAAACAAAACAACAAACATAAAAACCAAAAGAACTCAAAGAGTTAAGGGACTCAGGTCGTGCCCAGTGTCACACAGCAGTTCTCTAGAGGGCAGGCATGACTACCATGGAGCTGAGTTGTGGTGGCCTACGGGAGACCTTGGTCCACAGTCACAATAAAACAAACAAAATACAACCACTGGGTCTATGGTAATGGCAGGGAGGCTGTTAATGTCCCTTGTGGAAGGAGGGGGAAGGGTGACAGCTGACCTCCCCCAGCCCCAGTTGTATATAATTGTAGACACGCTAGTGTGTGAGGGAGCAGACTGACCGAGGATGGAACTCTGCAGTGCGCTACTGCCTGAGTTGTCCAAGCTTCTGCAAGCACACTTACCAAGCTGCACTGGGTGGAATCCATCTTTGGTTTGTTGGAGTGAATACTACTTATATGGCTCCCCAGGCCCCTCCTTGTCTGTCTCCCTGTACTCTTGAGCAGCAGCCTTTGCAAGGCTCTGTACGTAGAAGGGTGTAGTGACTGGACAAAGAAATGATGTGATCCGTGCGTCAGCTGTTTGGACAATGAGTACAGGTCCAGAAGAGCCCAGAAGTTCTGAGCGCTAGGTGTTTTAATCTTCCTGGCTCCCCACACCCCTCTCACTATTTGAGGCTATTAGCACACACACACACACACACACACCCCACATAGCTGGAGAGATGGGTTCTTGCTGTTCTCGCTGAAGACCTGGATTTGGTTCCTAGCACCCACATCAGGAGAATGTCGTGGAGGGCTCCAGAGCCTTGGCTGTCAACAGCTCCATCACTATACTTCTTTGGGAATCAGCTTCTTGGAGGTAAAATAAAGGAACTCAAGCTATGTGTCAAATGTTTTAAACTTATGTCTCAGTCGCTATTACCCCTCCCACACACACTTTCAGCAGTCAAAAATATTTGGATCTTACTTTCCATGATTTAGATTATGAATTATTGTCTTTGTATGCATTTGAAAAGGAGTAGATTGTCCCCCCAAACAATCCCTGAACTGGAGGGTCCCCTCCTACTCTGCTAGAACTCCACTGAACCCTCCCTTGTACTCATCTCAAAGTAACTTGTTTTCCTAAGATCAGCCCCCTTCAAAAAGCTGAGTGAAGAAGTTCCAGCTTATTGGGTTGCAGTTCATTGAGGTCTGCTGGAGGATGCCATGCTGGAGAACACTCCAGCTTTGGGAACATGCAGTCTGCAATCTGGATACCTTTTATTTAATTTCAAGAATTCCCTTTGCACGGCAAAAAGGGGTCTGAGGAAAGCGGAGCAGCGCAGATGAGCAGGACAGGAGCAGAGCGCTCACAGAGGTGGTGCCATGAAATGCCGGCCACCCACCACGCTCCCTGGCTGGGAAAGAAACAGGATCCACAAGAGGAGCGGGAAAGCCATTTTAGACACAAACAAGGGTCCTGGGGCATGCCACCCCACCCCAGTGCCTGGCCATGCAAGATGCTGAAATGGAGACTGGCCCACCAGGCTGCGGTGCTGGGAGCCGCGGAGCGATGCACCAACATGAAAGGGAGTCCTTTGGCGCTTCCCAAAGCGCCGGCAGGGTCAGAGCATAGTAGGTCTGTGTCCATGTCCATGAGCACGATCAGTTAACAGATAGCACCAACTGGGATGCCCAGGGCAGGAGAGAGCTGAGGCTCTAGCACCCACTTGCCCAGCCCTCCTGGGCAGTCTCATTCCTTGGTGGCTACTCTGGCAGCTGGTCTTTCCTCACCCTGTGCCCTGGGAAACTGGAGTAAACCATCAGGGTGAGGTCTGACCCAGGGCACCAGCTGCCTCTGGAGGGTCTGGCCTTAACTGTGCAGTGAAAAGCTGCTGCTGCACCTGACCGAATGATCAGAGTTAGGAAAGACGGGCTGGGGGACCAGGATGCTAGGGCCCACATTCAGGCCAAGAGCCTAACCGAGAACAAGCCTAGCCATTTTACAGCCAATAGGTTCCCCATTCCCAGTAACCCCAGGAGTTGGCCCCTGTTGCTTCTGAGGGGATTTGGAGAATCCGGGGAGGGAAGGGAGAGAGGAGAGAGACCAGGAAGGCCAGGTGAGAGCGGTCTGAGACCGACAGAGGTAGGCAGTGTGTGCGGTGGGGACACTGCACTGGGCTGGAGCCCGGGTGCGGCTTGGCCGCCATGTTCTCTGTGTCTCACTTTCCTCAGTTACCACATCAGGAAAACCCTACCCCACCCATCTCGAAGGGATAAGCTAAGGGTGTAAATAGTTAACGGATAGAAAACACTTCTTAAAAAAGTATAAAGCGCTGTCAGAGCGCGAGGCAGTGTTGTTATGAGAATGTTACCCTTAGCGCATCCCTCAGTTTCCAATACGTCTTTGTTTTCTTCTTCAGGGTGTCTCCTCACCTTAGGATGAATAGTATTTCCTTATTTCAGAAGGGTTTTGAGACTCCCTGGTCACTTTCCCTGATCAGATCTGTGGCCCGGTGGCCAGTGGGCAGACTAGGAAGTCCGAGGCATGTCCAAACGATTTCTGCTGCCTTGCTGTCCCTTTGGAACCTTCCCTGGCCACTGGGTCCACCCTATGAGATGAACTGAACTGTCCACGAGAGTTGGACAGTACTGGGGTACCCCGGTCCACCCCTTGGAATACCCTGTCTGGAGTGCAATTCCTGTGCCGATTTCCAGCAGGAGGTGGGGAGAGGGCGGGGAGGTGCGCTGAGAACAGTGGGGCAGGAGGTTTGGTCCTCAGGAACCCTGGCCTGCCCCAACTCCAGTCTGGTCCTCCCCGCCCCCCAGCCCAACCCTAGTCTCGTTCTGGCGGCACCTGGAGCGGCCGTGGGGCCCCCAGGCCCGGGCCGTTGTGCACGCGCAGGTGGTCCTTGAGTGACTCCTTGTAGCGGAAGCTCTTGCCGCACTCGCCACACGTGTAGGGCCGCTCGCCCGTGTGGATGCGCTGGTGCTTTAGCAGGTTCTGCTTGCGGATGAAGCTCTTGCCACAAAGCGCGCACTGGAAGGGCCTCTCGCCCGTGTGCAGCCGCTGGTGGTTCTGCAGGTGCTCCTTGCGGCTGTAGGTCTTCTCGCATTCGGAGCATTTGTAAGGCCGCTCGCCACGGTGCGTCATCTGGTGGCGGATGAGGCCAGAGTGACAGTTGAAGCTCTTCTCGCACTCGGCGCACTCGTAGGGCCGTTCCTTGGTGTGGCTGCGGTGGTGGATGATGAGGCTCTTGCGCACGCCGAAGGTCTTGCCACACTCCAGGCAAGAGTAGGGCTTGCTGCGCGCGCCATGAGCCAGGAGGCTTCGCCGCAGGCCGCCCGGGCAGCAGCTGCCGCAGCCACTGCCCGCACCCGCGCCTGCATCGGTACCGCTGCCACTACCCGCACCAGTGCTGCCGCCACCGCCACCGCCACCGCCACCGCCACCGCCACTGCCGCCGCCACCTCCCGCGCTGCCTTCCCCACCCGGCTGAGTCTCGCCTCCGCTACTGCGCTCCCCCGGGAGCGCGGGGAAGCCGTCCTCCAGTAGGTTGCGGTTCCCGGAGCCGCCAGGGTTCTCTGGCACCGCCAAGGCGGGCAAGCTCTGCTGGTGAGGTTGGGGTTGAGGCTGCGCAGAAGCAGAAGCGGGGGGTGGATTCTTCACCAGCAGCAGACTGTCACCTAGAAGTGGGGAGAGAAACAGAAGTGACACGCTGATAGTGCTCTTCTTCAGGATCCCACAGTGTCCCAGAGCGGGACTTGATCCTCTGGGCCTCAGCTTCTCTAATAAAATGATATCAAATGCTCACCAAAGCCCTTGCGCTTTGGAATTAGGGATAGGAAAGCCCTCCAGATCTCTTCTGCTACCCAGAAGTCAACTTACTTCAAAGGTAGACTGTTCAGGGGTCTAGAGCACCAGCTCTTCCTCGAGATCTGGGTTGGATTCCCAGCATCCACAACACAGCTCAACTGTCTAACTCTAGTTCTAGGGGATCTGATGCCCTCTTCTGGCCTCCATGGGCACCAGGCACACCCAGGGAACATAGATATAGCTCCCAGCACTCTGCGGATCTCTGAGTTCGAGGCCAACCTGGTCTAGAGAGCAAGTTCCAGGACAATGTTATTTATCTTTGGAGATTCTCTGAAGGCGAAGGAGAGAATTTTCCCTAGGTGAAAACCCATCTAGAGTCTTACCAGAATGGAACACAGTGAGCTCAGGCTTAAACCTCAGAAAGATGTGCAGTTAGGGCCTGAAAAGAAGTTGGGTGACCAGGATGGTGTGAGTCCTATCAGGACCTAAGATAACCTGGCCTCTAGCAAAACTGTGATGGCATTTCACAACATGTCTCACCAGGAAACTGCTTCTGCCCAGGCAATAGTGCCTTTCCTGTGCACCCTGAGCTCACCACTGTCTGGGTACCAGTGTGTGTGTGTGAGCGTGTGCATGTGTGTGGCAAGGGAGCAGTGGGCAGAGTCCAGACTCTCTGTGTCAGAACCATGACCTCAATTCCCTATATTTAGGAGTCTTCTTATGCCTCCTCCTCCATCATAATGTTATGTCCTCCCCCTGAAGAGGAGCTGAGGAGCCTGACCCCCATTCAGAGGCAGCCTGTGGGAGTAGAGCTAAATGGAGGCCACTTCTCAAGTCACAACGGCCACGTTTCTACCCTATCCTTGAGACTCGTTGGGACCTGAAGCCAGTTCTTAAATACCACCTTACACAGACCCGGCTGCCCTCCCTCTGGCCTAGTCAACCTTGACCAATATTTCTAGAGGAGTGGCCAGGAACAAAGCCAAATTCATTCTCACCTGTACTCTGGATGCTCAAATGCATTACCCTGGCTCCAGAGCATTTTGTGAGATTGGCCGCTGTAGCAGCTACACATGGGTTGTTGCTGCTGCTCCACCAAAGCCTGTGACTTCACTGCTTTCACATGTTCATCCATTCCCAGAGATGCTTCCCGGGGAACCCACCTGTACTACCTTACTCTGACAATCCTTGAATCTCAGCATGACCAGCGTCCACTGTCTCCCTCTCCAGCATGCTCTGCAGCCCAGCCTTCGTTTATTTTTGCTTGGCCAATTCAGCACTCAAGGTCTAGCAATACAATCACTGGATGGCGAACACTCTGGTGGCTTTTGATTCCTCCACAGTTCAGTTGCCTAGAGAACCCCAACCCTCCTGCTTCTCTCAAGCACTTGCATGTTGCTGCAGGAAACTGTCCCCCTGTCCTGAGGGCCCCCCTCCCCCGACCCGGTGTCCTGGCTCTTGTCCTCAGTAACTTCTGCCTTCTACTCTGCCATTGTCGAATCCCAGGCCCCATTCTCTTCCAGCTGAGTCTCCTTGTGCATGGCATAAGAGCTTTCCGTTTCCAGTTACTGCTGGGCACTGGTTCAGATACAAGCAAGAGATGAGATCTGATAATCAGGTGTGAGAACTCTGCTCTGGGAGACTTCTGGAAGGTTCCTTAGTCCTTAGAGCATTTTTTCTCAACCTTCCTAATGCTGTGACCCTTTAATATAATTTCTTAAGTTGTGGTGACCCCCAACCATAAAATTATTTTCATTGCTACTTCATTAATATAATTTTGCTACTGTTATAAATCATAATATAAATATCTGTGTTTTCTAATGGTCTTAGGTGACCCCTGTGAAAGGGTCATTCCACCCCCTAAAAGGTGTGGTGACCCACAAGTTGAGAAACATTGCCTTAGAGCTTATAGGAAAAAAAAATGGACTTTCCTCTGCCCTCCAAGTCTGTAGGTGATGCCTGGGATAGCTGATGTGATGTTGACGTCAGCCCAAGGTTGGTGCCACACCAAGGTAGCCACTGAAAGAGGTAGAAAGAACCTAGTTCCTCAAAACATAGCTGGGTTCTCAAATCAAGTAAGCCTGACCTTGAACTGCCTGCTGTAGTTACATAGAAGAATAAACTTCTTTATCCCTCAAGGTAGTTGAAATCAGACTCTAAAGGAGTAAAGAGTCTAGGTATTGGAGCTGGATAGATGTTAAGAGTACTTGCTGCCCTTCCAGGGGTCCAGTGTTAGGTTTTCAGCACCCACAAGGCAGCTTACAACCATCTGTAACTCCAGTTCCAAGGAACCTGATGCCTTCTTCTGACCTGTTGGGTATGCACACACATGTGCACAGGCACACACACACAACTCCCCCAGCCCTAGCACCTAAAGGCCTCTTGGCTTTGTTCTTGCACTTCCCTCTAGTCTGTTATTCCAGACAGATCCGTGTCTCCTCTTTTTTTGGGGGGGGGGGGTTCTAGAGCATATCCAGCTATCCCTTTCCCAGGAGGCTTTTCCTGGTTCTCTTGCCCTTAGCCCTATTGCTTGCTCCCATCTTCCTGTTTTCCCCGATCTGGACCCTCGGAGGACTGGCCACCCTCTACCTTTGCTTAACCTGATTGCTTTTTGGCTTGTTTATTGTCCTTCCCTCCCTACAAAGGAAAAGGTCTTTCGGCCCTGTCTGTCCTGTGGACTTTCAACACTGCACAGCCCTGAATAAGCACTAGTAAATTACTGTTAAATAAACAGAAACTAGAAAATGTGGGACTCATTGTTTTGATCCAAGGCAGTGGTTAACATGGAAATTTCAAGAAAGTGCCTTCAAAACACTGGGAATCTGGGTAGAGGGTACCTAGCTCAGCCTCCTCTGGAAGCCATCATGTAGCCAATGGACTTTAAAATCCTATCCTGACCTGCCTAACAGAGTCTCACACACAGCAGTTTTTAGTGAACTGGATTTCCAATCTTCCCCTATAGTCTCAATTCACATTTATCAGTATATAAAATAAGGAGCCTCTTTCACTAAAATACCATGTCCAGTTGGGCTGAATGGCCTTGAGTCCAGCAAAGCACCCTGTGTACCACTCCCCCTTGTGCACGGCCGAGGGCTTGGGAAGGAGGCTGGTCAGCCAGTACATATTTCTGCATTTCATCCTCTGCCTCTATCACCCTCTTTCCCGGCAATCCCTTTCCAGAAGGTTCTTACACATAATACCACATCTTTCAAACATCTATCTAGTTCTTCCTGGAAATCACTATACTAAGGCTACCATAAAAAAAAAAAAAAAAAAAAAAAGGATTGTCATCTATGGGGCTGAAGAGATGCCCCAGTGGTTAAGAACACTTGTTCTTGTAGAGGACCCAGGTTCAATTCCAAGCACCCACATGGTGGCTCACCACTGTCTATAACTCCAGTTCTAGGGGATCCAATGACCTCTTCTGACCTCCACATTTAAATGGTTCATAGACATACATGTGAACAATACTATACACATAAACTAAAATAAATAAATCTAAAGGTTTTAAGGATCTTATTTTAATTATATGTGTTGGTGTGGGGCTATGTACATGGGTGCAGTGCTCACAGAGGCTAGGGGTCACACATTCTCTGGAAGTGGAGTTGCAAGGGATTGGGAGCCACCTGCTAAGGGAGGGTGCTGGCAACCAAACAAAGAGTGGTATGTTCTCTTAACTACTGAGCTGCCTCTCCAGTCCAAAAGATTTGGAAGATCTAGGCTTTTGTTTTTGTTTTATTTTAATGATTATTATGTATCTGTTGTCCTAGAACCATCTAAAACCTCACAGAACCACAGATGGAATGCTGGTTTCAAATTCTCGTCTTAATAAGCAGGAGGCAGATTCTCTTCAGCAGAAAAAAGAGAGGTCTTGCAAAAAGGCTATAGTAACTGATAGGGGAAACATTTCTAGATCCTCATACTGCTGTAATTCTGGGCATTGCCTCCCAAATTCTAGGGCTCAAAGACATCCCCCAAATAAAATACCCTGACCCAAAATGCCCTATGAATTATCATATTCAAACTAAAGTAGGAAATAGGCCTTTGTAAAGCCTAGCCTTTGTAAAGTTCTCTGGGGGCTTTCCCAGATCTGTTGCTACACCTGCACAAACCCAAGGAAAGGCTCCTCTGGGCCCATGTGCTCCTAGCCACCTGGAGAAACAGGAGTGTAGGACCATGGACAAGGGCTGAGCAAACTTCCTGGCAATGCCTGGTGAGCTAGGTCCTATGCCTTCAAAGCTAGACCTAGAGGGCCAGGAATGTGCCTCTGTTGTTAGAGTGCCTACCCTAATATGTTTAAAGCATTGGGTTTGATTTTCAGAACGACATAAAACCGGGTCTGTGGTCACAGGCCTACAATCCCAGCACTCAGAGGTGGAAACAGGCGTCCAAGGCCACCCTTAGCTACATAAAGAATTCAAGACCAACCTGGGCTATATGAAGTTTTTGCCCAAAACACCCTAAAACATAAAATTAAAGTAAATTAAAAATGCCAAATCCAGCCGGGTGGTGGTGGCGCACGCCTTTAATCCCAGCACTTGGGAGGCAGAGGCAGGTGGATCTCTGTGAGTTCGAGACCAGCCTGGTCTAAAAGAGCTAGTTCCAGGACAGGCTCCAAAACCACAGAGAAACCCTGTCTCGAAAAACCAAAAAAAAAAATAAAAAAATAAAATAAAATGTAAAAAAAAAAGAGCCAAATCTAGAAATGGTAGCTAGGGGCTATCGAAGTGGCTGCTATTATCATTTCTTCCAACGCCAGTGGTCAATCTTCTGGTTCTCCTCCACATACATTCCACTTCAAACAAGGACTCACCTCTCCCATCCAGTGATAATTCCTCCAGACTTTAAAAGGCTGCCACCAGCAAAATCACCCTAGAAGGGAATAGGCTGAGGCAAGCAACTCTACTGCAGGCTTCAACTACTCTGGACCTAATACCCAAGGTATCTAGAAGAGGCACACATTACTCACTTGGGCCAGAGTCTAGTCCAAGCTCCCCTTCCATTGAGTCACGCGGGCCCCATGGGTACGGCTGCTCTTCCTGCTTGATCCAGGACAAAATGTCATGTGCTGAGATGAGAGATTCTGTTGTCAGAAAAAAAGGCAACCTTAAGACTTCATTTAGTTTCACCGAGCACCTACTATCCACTGACCAGAGAGACCACGGGGCCAGGCTATGCTGGAGAAAAGCTCAGCTTCGAAGGCCCACAGCACCACAGCTGGCTGGTCTGACGAACAGTGCAAAGGCAGCAGCCAGGGCCACTGACAAGCCCATGGAAAAACCTGAGGACTCTGAGGGGACTCTGCTTCTGCCTGCTGGGTCCTCTCACCAGACTCCTAGGCTAAATTTCTCATCCTCTCTCCAGATATGTAGGGTAGGATGAGACCTCCCAGCTCTACAAATTCATATATAAACCCATGCCCAGCCCAGGTGGTGAGTTTCCCTAAACAGCTGGAACATCCCCAGAGTTTTCATGGGAGTTATCATACAAATGGAATTCCAGAAAGGGACTGGAGAGGTGGCCCGAGATTGACAGCCCTTGCTGCTCTTGCAGAGGACCCAAGTTCATTCCACCTACATCAGCAGCTCACAACTGGAGCCCCAGGAAATCTGGCCTCTGTAGGCACCCACATACAAATAATTAAAAATAAAATACGTCCTGAAAAAAAAAAAGAAATTCCAGAAAATATAAATTACTTGCTCTTTGACACACACAAATACACATGGCTTTTAGAAGCCTTTTGGTTTTGAATCTTCAAAAAGCAATGCCAAAGTAATTTTTGTATCAGTTCCATTGACACAATGAATATTAAATTTAATAATTCACTGTGACATCTCTCTCACCTGAATTGGGATCTGTGGGAATATCTCTCTCTGCCAAATCTTGCTGGTCCCACACACACTGCGGTTCCTCTTGCTTAATCCGGGACAAGAGGTCCTGGGCAGAGATGGGGGAGTCTACTTGGGAGAACACAGGCGACAAGGCGTTAGAGAAGGGGAATTCTCACCAGTCTGTGTTTTCAGTGAGTAGGATTTCATGCAATTGTTTGTTTTCCTTAAAAGTTAAGGATAAGAATAAATAAATTATCCCACTTAACTAAAGGTTCCAGCCACTCTGGCCGTAATGAATGGAGCTGTGGCTGAAGTCTAGGGGACGTCACAGGGCAGTGAGTAGGATACAGAATGTCCCCAGACACTTAACTAGCCAGGATGAGGTCTCTGCTCTGGAGCTATGGCCTCAACAGAAGAAGGGACCTCATGAAGGCATGTCCCAGGAAAACAGCCCTCCCAAGGAGGCCTCTTATCAGTATCTGAACGGAACTTTGCTAAGACAAAACATCCTTTTATTCATAGGCTACTAAACCAGTATACAACACCAGTAATCCCCACGCTCGGGAAGGGGAGGCAGGAGGATCAGAAGTTCAGGTCACCCCTGATTACATAGAAAGTTCGAGGCTGGCTACATGAGTCTCTCTATCAAAATTTTTTCTCTTTTTTTGTAATCAAACCCAATTTATCCTTTATTTATCACCTTCTTATCTCTTTTTTTTCTAAAAATATTTATTTATTTATTATGTATATGACATTCTGTCTGCATGTATGCCTGCAGGCCAGAAGAGGGCATCAGATCTCATTACAGATGGTTGTAGGCCACCATGTGGTTGCTGAAAATTGAACTCAGGACCTTTAGAAGAGCAGGCAGTGCTCTTAACCACTGAGCCATCTCTCCAGCCCCACCTTCTTATCTCTTAATGGTTTCTAGAGACTTGATGCTTTAAGGAATTCATCTGACAACCAGTGGAGGCACAGCTGCTACCCTTTGGCCGCCATCACTTGCCTGCGTGTCTCAGGCTTTCCTGGAGGAGGGATGAGGTTGGAGCAAATGGCAGCTACCTTCAGTGTCCACATGGCAATACCACTCAGGTATCGGTCAAACATCATTCCAGATGTTATTATGAAGGGATTTTTAGGTGAGATTAACACTGAAGCTGGTAGACTGAATAAAGCAGATGATCCACTATAATGGGGATGGGCCTCATCCAACCTGGGGAAGGTCTTAACTGAAAAAGATGACCAACCCAAGGAAGAAGGGATTCTGTCAGCAGACAGTCTTTCCCGGGCCCCATCCTGCTGGCCTTCTTGCTAGCAAATTTTGGATCTGTCAGACACTATAATCACAATAGCCAGTTTGTTAAAAACAAGTCCCTCTAAATGTACCCATGTACATGCTCCCATTGCACACACACAAACCATTGGTTCCATCTCTCTGGAGAACTGGCCTCATGCACACACCTGCCATAACAGATTCTCCATCTAAGTACAGCTCAGCTAAAACACCATGGAGGAGCAGCTCCCCATGGACATGCAGCAACGGGGTACCTGGCGTGGAAGTGGCAGCCCATAAATATTTGTGTAATGTAGTTCTGTGGTCCAGGAACAGGTCTTACTGGCTTTGATATTCTGCCACCCAGAGAGCCCAATAAAATGCTTGTACTAAGCTGTTTTTATAAGGAACAGAGGGATGATCCAAAACTTACTAGACAAAGGACAGAGAGAAAAAAAAACAGAACAGGAAAAGCTGAATGTAGTTATAAACCCTCAATGCTGAGCACTATGTTTATGCCTCTGTAGACACTTTCTCAGTCCAGTTCTGCGTTCACAGCTCTTCCTTTGCTAGTCGAGCCCTCTGGGGGTTACAGACCCCTCCTCGGCCAAGCGGCTATTTGGCTCACTTACCAGTGATGGATTCTGTTGGGATGGCTCTTTCTTCCAGACCCCTCTGGCCCCGAACACACAGGGCTTCCTCTCGCTTCACCTGGGAGGACATGTCCTGTGCAGGCATCAGGGGCTCTGTTCCTGGGGAGAGAGGACCATACTTCTTAGAATCTTTTTTCAGTTTATTGGTCACCAGGGTGTTCTGTGGTCAGAATCATGGTTGTCAGCCCTCCAGGGGACAGCACAAGCGTCTTGGATCCTTACTGGAGATATGTGGGACCCTGAGGAGCAGAAAGTTCCAGGAGCAGAGAAGTGAGAATATTCAAGAAAAAGGGATAAGAAAAAGGATATGATGGCTCATGGCTGCAATCCCATCAGTCAAGAGGCTGAGGCAGGAGAATCACCATGAGTTGGAGGACAGTTTGAGCTACATAATGAGTTCTAATCCAGGTTGGGCTCAGAGTAAGACCATGTCCCAAAAAACAAGACTAGGCCAACATCAGCAAAAAGTCTGAGGAGCCACAGACAGGCACTGAAGATGGTGGGCGTTACCTTATAACTGCAGGGGCTAAGCAGAACTTGGAACATGTTTGTGCAGAGTCACTTGCCCCTGGTTTGGGTTTGTTGTTGTTGTTGTTGTTGTTGCTTGTTTGTCTGTTTTTTACTATAGTGTCCAGATGCAAACAAATTGCTCTATGAAGTAATCAGGCTGAGCATAAGAACAACCAAATCCTGATGCTGGGTAAATAAAACAGTATCCTTCAGCATAAAAGTCAACAGCCTATGTTCTTCACAGAATCCCACTTTGTGACCAACAGGACTTTTTTTTTTCTTTTTTGAGCTTTCTGGGACAATGTAATAGCTCTTGTGCTCTAGGTGGAAGACAGTTCAGGTAACAGGAAAGACTATGGAAGAATCTGAAGAGAGTGATCCTGGTTTCAACTCCACCACCACCTTGCTCCGCAAGCCACTTCACCTCTCTGGGTTTCTCTGCCCAGTTCACCTAAAGTAGATGGAGTGGTTCTGGTTCTGTTTTGTGACCCATGATGATTTGATAACTCAGTGAAACTGCTGAGGTCACAGGGCCCAAAATGTAAAAAGCTGCCATACAACATTAGAAACTGTAACCACAGCTGCGAAAGGTGCTTGAAGCCTGGGAAAGGCCACTAAAATAAAACATCCATCCTGTGAAATCCACAGAGACAGAGGCGGGCCTACCTGCAAGAAAGGGAAGTAGGGAAAGGCTAATGAGTATGTGGATTCTCAATCTGCATGTGTCCCTGCAGGCCAGAAGAGGGCACCAGATCCCATTACAGGTGGCTGTGAGACACCATGTGGTTGCTGGGAATTGAACTCAGGGCCTCTGGAAGAGCAGCCAGGGCTCTTAACCACGGAGCCATCTCTCTAGCCCCAAGTTAATAATTTAAAAGGAAGAATTTTATGACCAATAAACTATAAGAAAACTTAAGATTGGGGAGGGGAAAGAACAGTGCTGGGAATTTCCATGAAAATATTGCTTAAAAACAGTGGTGGGGGTCAAGAGCATCAACAGAGGTCAACAGTATAGTGTCACTTTGTGCCTTGCTCAACATTGTTCAAGAAGCAGAGGCACCTGGGGAAGACCTCCAGGGCAGAACTAGGGCTAGACCCTAGTGTCTTCCATCCCAGTAAAAGCTGCCAAAAGTGATATTCTTAGGACTATTGGTTCCTTTATGAGTGAGGGGAAAGACTTGGGGCAAGTGGGAAGGTGTGTGTATATCAAAGCAGAAATGGGCTGAGATGCGGATTATACTCAGGCAGTGAGCAAGCGGCCAGGCAGGACCATACTTCTGCTGCGGCCTTTTTTCCACCTCCTCTGGGAGTCTCCCAAGTCTAAGACCTCATGTACCCCATCAAGGTGTCTCAGCTCAAGCCCTTCCTTACTTTGATGGGGGAGAGTCTTCTGTTTTGTGTTGATTTCATTGGTTAATAAAGAAACTGCCTTGGCCCTGATAGGACAGAAAATTAGGTAGGCGGAGTAGACAGAACAGAATGCTGGGAGAAAGAAGCCGAGTCAGTCAGTTGCCATGATTCTCCCACTCCAGACAGACACAGGTTAAGATCTTTCCTGGTAAGCCAGCTCGTGGTGCTACACAGAATATTAGAAATGGGTTAGATCAATATGTAAGAGCTAGCCAATAAGAGGTTAAAACTAATGGGCCAAGCAGTGTTTAAAAGGATACAGTTTCCGTGTAATTATTTCAGGGCATAAGCTAGTCAGGCAGCTGTGAGCCAGGGTGGCAGGAACGCAGCCTACCACTCCGCTCCTCTCAACAGAGTGGCGCCCAACGTGGTAACAAACTCCACATAAAACCTGAGAGAGCTTAATTTTAAACAGAGAAAACACAGAGTTTAACACAGATTTTTACTGTTTGTTGGTGGCGTGCCATAGAGAGATTTCCTGATTCAGCAACAGCAGCAGAAAAAAGCTGCATCATTTTAAGGCGCGGCTTCCTGGGGCTGTGCCACCAGTGCAAACTCTGGCTTTAAAGCATTCAATGGCTTTTATTGGACTGGATGTTTATGTTCCTGCTTGGGATCCAAAGGAGAGTGCTCTGAGACCTTGCAGATGGCTCAGTGCTCCCCGCCTGCACCTGGGAAGACAGCAGAATCAGGCTTAGGCAGCGGAAGAGCATGGCGGATTCCTGCCACCATATAGAGACATGTTTTCAGACTGCACAGTGCTCTGTGTGTCAGATTTGGCTGTAACTTGGATGAAAAGAGTTTCTGTGCCGCATGCTCAGTCTCAGAGTTAAACTGCTGAGTGCGGCTCCAATGTGGACTTGCTGTGTGCCTACGACTGTGTGCAGCTCAGGGGCACCAAATGGATCTGAGGCAGGAGCGGCTGCTCCATGCTGAACTGTGCTGACCTCAAGCAGGAACAATTGTAATTACCATAACAACAGGACAGTTAAGGTTTAGACTGGCAGTAAACAGGCAGTACTGTATTACCCCTACATGGTGCAACTTAAGTTTTTAAGAAGTGCTTAGCATTTTAAGAACTGCTCCTGGATAGTAAAAAATTACAGATTCACGATAGGACAGATTCAGACATAGGCTTGGGAGAGAGAATAAAAAAAAAATAGAGAGAATAATGTTAAATTCTTTAAAGAGACAGAGTACAGAAAGTTATAGATTAAAAGAAATAAAGAAAAATAAACCATGTAAAAGTGGAAAAATCACGGAGAGTCTGGATTCTTTGTATTATTGTGTTTTCTTTAAAATTTTTGACTGTGAAAGAGCTAAGTACAGAGAGACATTTCATTATATGGGCTGCCAAGTGGAACCAGAACGGATATCATGAGGGTATGACTTCAGAATTTGGGTCTAAGGATATGATGCTTTGGAAAGGGTCTTCTTTTGTTTTCACAGAGGATGAGACCCTGTGGATTGCTTCTATCCCAATATAGTATGATAGACCACGGCCTCCTGAAAGGTTGCTGTGAACACCCTCAAAAAATTACTTCACTCAACTGCCAACTGAGATAAACCTGGCACACAGGTTACACCCTAAACGATCTGATTAACAGTGCCCTCATTCAGCAGGAAGCAGTTTGGAGAGAAAAAACTGCGCCCATGTTCCCAAATATTGCTTATAAATGTTCTTTTACATTTAAAGGGGGATATGATATAGATATGAATAATTTGCATTGGTATGGATTTTAAGGTCAATTTTGTTATATGTGTATGTATTTCTGATCTTGATTAAGGTATTGTGATTGTGTAGTTCATTTAAAAATGTAATGTATAATTAAGAAATATAGGTTGTTAATGGATAATCATCAATAATAGTAAAGCTTATAGTCATGTTAGTTAGATTTTCTAGATATATAGAGCTATATTTCAGTTAGATAGGCATTCTTCATATCTTTCAAAGACTACAGAATATGGCATTTTAAATGTTTTAATAACTTAGAGCTTTTCATGACAATGAGACACGTCTGCTCCTGGCAGCGCCAGCTACTTCAAGAGGAGGATGGGTATCGAAGAGGCTCCTTATGGAGTTGGATAGCCATTTGGGCAAGAAACTGCTCTTGCCTGGACTGTTGCATAAACTGGACACAGAGAACCCGCAGAGAGAGGACTGCTGAACTTGCCTAAAGGTGAGATGGTCTTTTGGGGTTCCTGATTCATGAAAGAGTCTGCGAGACATTCTGCAGGATACAGCAGATAGTGACCAAACTGTCTTTGGAATTTCCTGCTTCATGGAAATGTCTCTGGATACCATAGGCCTGTAGGCCAAAGATGGATGCCCCAACAGTACAGAGGAACTTTGGGTAACTGTACAGGCAGTGAGATGTCTCTGTCATTTCTAGAGTTTTAGAAGTTGCTTATTTCTTGTTTGCTTAGGTAATATTATATCCTTCTGGAGTCTTTGATGAAGTTAAAGAATGGTTAGTTATAGTTATAGTTTTCCTTAGTTAAGATAAAAGATAAAATAGATATAAATATTGTAACTGTAATTCTTGCTTTATAACTGTTTTGTTATATGTAATCTTACTATGTTAAAGTGAAAGCCTTTCTTTTTTGTTTAAACAGAAAAGGGGGAAATGATGGGGGAGAGTCTTCTGTTTTGTGTTGATTTCATTGGTTAATAAAGAAACTGCTTTGGTCCTGATAGGACAGAAAATTAGGTAGGCAGAGTAGACAGAACAGAATTCTGGGAGAAAGAAGCCGAGTCAGGCAGTCGCCATGATTTTCCCACTCCAGACAGACGCAGGTTAAGATCTTTCCTGGTAAGCCAGCTCGTGGTGCTACACAGAATATTAGAAATGGGTTAGATCAATATGTGAGAATTAGCCAATAATAGGCTAGAACTAATGGGCCAGGCAGTGTTTAAAAGAATACAGTTTGTGTGTTGTTATTTCCGGTGTAAAGCTAGCCGGGTGGTGGGACACAGCTCACTGCTGCTCCTTACTACATTACTTGGCTTTTATTTTTTGAGATAGAGTCCCACTATGTCACCCTTGCTGGTCTGGAATTCTCTACACAGACCAGGCTGGCCTCATACCCACAGAAATCAACTTGTCTCTAATGCCTCGAGTGTGAGGATTAAGGATGTGTACCACACCTAGTTTCTTCCCCTAGCTCACCTATAGGTTCAGAGCCATCAAAGTTCAGCCGATAAGTACAGTGGCTTTAGGCCCTGAGGGCATGTCTTGTAGCAGAAGTGGCTCCTGGGAACATTAAGAGCTAGTCTCTCCTGAGACACACAGTATGGACTCCATGTGTGAGTGCAGGGTGCCCAAGCTCTCCTCTTCTGTGCCTCCCTGTTCCCATCCCTAGCTCAACAGCCATTACCTGTGTCTGTAGCCACTGGGATTTCTCTCTCTTCAGGGTGATGCTGCTCCCATACACAAGGCTCTTCCCTAGGTTCTGCCTGGACTGGAGCATCTGGCTTGGACACTGGGCCATCTGTGTCTGTGAGATGGTGAGAAAGGAAAAGAAGGGTTGTATGGAGCTGACTAGTGAATGCAGACTGCCGTGGTGGAGCAGGGCTCTCTGTTGCCAGTGTTACTCAGAATGGTCATCATTATGTAAGGAAGGAAACAAACATGAAACAAGCCAACAGGATCCCCGGCTTCCAAGGCAGAAAGAACTGGTTTCCAAAATCAAGATCGCACTACCCACAGCTGACCCCAGGCTGTTACGAGGCAATACAAGGGGATAGAAACTTGCTATTTTATGGTATTTTAGATTAACAGTAGTGTCATATACACTACCACAGGCACAGGCTCAGCTGCCACCCTTTTAATTTGCATCCTATCATAAAAAGTTCCCCATTTGTTTCCAGTATGCTCCTTTGCATCCTGGAGCCCTCAGCAGAGAGCGCTTGCCAGTGGAGGAGAGGTAGCCTTACCCAGGGACATCAGGGTTTTGTAGTTCTCCTTCACCAGATTGCTGTAGAGCTCCTTCTGCCATTCATCCAAGTTCTTCCATTCATCCTCAGAGAAGTAGACAGCAATGTCGACGAAAGTCACTGGGACCTAGTCCAAGAAGGGGTTCAGTCAGCAGCCTGCTGCTGTTCCTCATCCCACTCTCCTGGGACCACAGAGCCAGCCCATCTCAGGCTTGGCCTCTGTTCCCAGCACCCCAATTTCTATATCCCAGGTCACATCTGTCCATCAAAGAGGTCCATAATTCCCTGTAGCTGACCTTCCTAGCTAACCAATAGTAATGGCGTTATTGCTACCCTTTTCCTTCTTCTTTTCTTTTTTTTTTTTTTTTGTTGTTGTTGT